TATCATCCCCTTTAAGGTGTTATGTTTCATTTTGGTGCATTTTTCCCTAAATGTGGTCTAATGGGGAAGGAACTTTTGTCTTTGACTTGGGAGAGGTGTAAATGGTGTAGCGAGTGGAAGAGAGTGACTGTTCTATGCTTATAGGTGTCTTTTTTTTTCCTTTGGTTGTTTGTTGCATTCTGCGGTGTGTCCTCATGTGGTGTAGTTGTTCTGTTGAGTGGAGTTTTGTGTGTCACGATATATATAAGATGAGGTGCCTGTTCAAAGTAATGTGGATTGGGAGGTAAGATTCCTCCTTTTGTCAGGTGTACCTCAGATTGATCTAGTGTCAGTTTGGGTGTGAGGGGGGAGTGTCAAGTGTGAAGAGGGAGAGAGGGGGAAAGACAGATAGAGAGAGAAGATGGGAGATCAGAAAGGGGGGTGAGAGAGGACTAAAGTAAGTTCTGCGTTAGGAGGGGCCCGGGTCCGCCCGCACTCTGCCCCCGGTCTCGGGTTCTCCGTCGTTCCGGTATAGTCGGGAGATATATATAAACCATGGTTGACAGACTTCCACGTGATTCTGCACTCTGTATGTCTTCTACTCATCTGATCCATTCCTTCTTCATTGGGACCTCTGCTTTTTTCCAGTAGGCTGGTATGGCTGCCTTAGCCGCGTTCAGCATATGGCGTAGGACTGATTTTTTGTAGCTCGATATAGGTTGCTGGGAGATATGTAGTAAAGCTAATTAGGCTGACCAATCCAGGACATCTCCCAGCACCAGAATTATTTCGTTTTTTATCATTTCCCAATATGGGACTATGTCTTGGCATTCCCACCAGATGTGCCCCGTTCCACTTGACATCTCCAACACGTTGGTGGTATTGAAGAAAAGTGCTCAGTGTAAATAGGTGCTTAGTGGAAATGCTAATTAAAAACAGCAGCTCAACACACGTGCAGGTATCCCAATCCTACACAAACAGATATGTGAAAAAAGAGTGCGAACTTCGTAGATGTACTACCACCACAAAGATCACTCTGTGGAACGCTAGAGATAGGGAAATATCTCACCCCTATATAAATATCGTATATATCACTTTAACAGCATATAAAATCTAGAACAGAGAAATACACATCATAGTGCAGAATGATTGTAAAATGTGTATGGAATGGAGGAGAGTGTAAGTCCAACTCACATGGCACAGAGCCTAAAGATTGGCTCGAATCAGCTTGGGTATATTTAGGCAATACCAGACCTCCTCCCGATATGCAGCTCGCAGAATATATGGAAGAGAAAAGAGGTAGAATTCCTAGTGCAAATACGTATGGTAGAAAGAGTGATCACACGTTAGTGGTATTGTCTGGAAGATTTGGTGTAGAACAGTTGGCATTCTATATCAGGAGGAAATCAGTTTATAGTTAACTTCTTGATAATGTGAGCTCATGGAGTTCTTGTGTTGCCACACAAGCGCTTTGTCCCATTGCTGTGGTGTGAGTGTTATACCTAATGATTCCTCCCATTGCCTTTTGAATGTGTTGTTATCTGTTCGGCCATTCATGACTAGGTGTTGGTATAGTGAGGAAACTCTGTGATCCAACCCTGAGCTCTGTTCACATAGTTCTTCAAACCATGTTAGGTCTCTATGCAGGCGTTCTTTATGTGTGAGCAAAGTGCAGTATTGTTTTAGTTGCATATATCTAAGGGTAGTCAATGCGGTCCGTGGTCTGCCTTCCAGCAGCGAGTCCAAGTCCCACATTCCGCCATCTTTTAAGGCCCTTCATATGGGTATGTAGTCTCCCTCACCCAGGAAGTTCCACGCCCCAGCTGGCAGTCCTCCACCAATTTTGCTATTGTGCGTCACCGGAGTGAGGGGGCTGGGCGTTGGTGAGATGTGTGGTTGTTCTCTTAGCGATTTCCATCCGTGTAACGTTTCTGCTACCGGTCCCTCGCCTACCTTTTGGTCAATTGGTCTCATTTCCCCGCCCCAAATCATCGGTTCCAATGTCAGTTCATTGGCTGCTTTATCCAACGTTACCCATTGCTTATGTGGGGGTTTCGAGTGCCAATCAATAATGCGTAGCTTGGTGGAATTTTCTAAAATCCGGTAATGCCAATCCACCGGAGGGTAAGGGTAGGCATAATATGCCGTGGTTTAGTCGGGATCTTTCGCTACGCCATGTGTAGTGTATGACTGCTGTTTTCAAGGAGGAGAAGAATGTTGCTGGTGGTGTGAGGGGTATGGTCTGCATGAGGTATATGATTATAGGAAGCACATTCATTTTGAGCACTGCTATGCGCCCGTGCCAGGTTATGTGCGGGAGTGCCCATCTAGCTAGGTCTGCTGCGATCTTTTGCAGTATGGGTTGGAAATTATGTTCGTATAATTGCTTGGGGTCTGTGGTCACCCATACACCCAGGTATTTCATTTTGCCATAACACCATCGAAATTCAAATTGAGAATCCATTGCCATGTATTCGTTACTATTGATTGTAAGATTCAGTACCTCACATTTCGTCAAGTTGAGCTTGAACCCTGACATTATGCCAAAGCGTTCAAATTCCGCTAGGAGGTTTGGCAGAGTTGTTCGGGGTTGTTTGATGAAAAAGAGTAAATCGTCGGTGTAAGCCGCTACCTTGTGGGTTGTTCCCAGTCCCTTGTGTCCCCTAATGTCTGGGTTCAGGCGAATTGCTTGGAGGAGCGGTTCTAGCAATATAGCAAACAATAGTGGAGAGAGTGGACACCCTTGTCGCGTTCCGTTCTTTATCTCAAAGTCAGTCGTCCGAGCTCCGTTGACCTTCCCTGCTGCCCTCGGTTTGCCGATTCCGTGGCAGCCACCTACGGGCCACGCGCCCCCCATACAGTTCGACAAACAAAGAAGGGATAAGTGAAGGGGAGGAGGGGTGTGTGAGGGCAGAGGTTGGTGGGTGAGGTTAGGGAGGTTGCGAGTGTGAGTCGTGTGGTGTATGTATGTGTAGGTGGGGCGTGCGCCTCAAGGGCGAAGATCCCCCGGGATTAATGGAATCCTGTATCAGGTCCCCTCTGTCAAGGGGTGCTCGTGCAGCAACCAGAGTCGTTAGGACCTCACCCCGGTAACCAGCCCGAAGAGCGATGATCCCCACAGTCCAGCTGCGAAAAGATTAGCACAAGTAAATGTTGGGTAGCGTCCCTGTCTTATTTTGTGTGTGCAGAGGCCCGCTTTAGCCATGTTAACAATCTCCCCCAGTTAGCCCTGTCCTTTCCTAAGTAGGTCCCATTCTATGTCCTCTCTCCCTACTCTTTCAGCTCTCCATCTGCGCAGCCTCTACTTTATAATGTGATGTTTCTGTCATGAGTGTAGTGACCTGACGTCATTGCGTGTTTATGTCAGGTGACAGGGAGGTGTGTACCTTTTAGCTCCAGTGGAGTAAATTCCCTTCCCACATAGGTCTGTCCCTGTATGTTATGCGATAACAGTTTCGTCTCATGAGCTTGACCCTTCCTGTACTATGTTCAGTCACCCTTTCCCGGTCTATAGCCTTGGTGGGGTTGTTCACATGTGATTAGCGTTATGTGGGGCCCATAGCTATTTTGTCCTCCCCCCGTCTCCCTGGTGGGGTCCCCCTTCTCGGGAGGCAGTCTTGTATTTAGGGGCGCTGTCCTATGAGGTTGCCTTGGACCCTCGCCATCCATGTCTGTCCGCGTTTTTACTCATTACCCCACCCTTCCTAGGAGTAGATATCATTCCCCCCCTCGCCCTCCCCCACATCAACCCTTCTGAAATTTGGGTAGTGACCAAGAGGTAGGCAGTGTTAACACATTTTTCACATGTATGCAGTAGTGTTGCAGTTTAGACATAATACATTCAGGCAGTCTCATTAGTAATTAGACCGGCAGTTGGGGATGGTCCCTGGTAAGGAATCAAATCGAACGCCAGCTTGAAGGGGGTCATGTTTATGACCTTGTCATGGTGTCATTCCTGCTCATCCCCCGAATCTGGGGTGGCCCCCTCGTATACCGTAGTCCCAGAGGTCGGGGGGCTGGTGTCCTACAAGTTACCCAGGCCTTTACCTGCCCCTCCGGTTGCGAGTAGACTTTATACTTGTGTTTCCATGGCGGTCAACCTGCGGGAGTCAGCCGCGGTAAGTGAGGCGGGGACAGGAGGGTGACAGTCAATGTCCCCAGGCGTGTGTGCGGTCCGGTAATGCTGCGTTTAGTGGAGGGAGCTTGCCCAGTTCTCCTGTCCCCACCTCCATTCACATGTCACCCCACCCCAAGTATCTTTCGTGCCTGCTCCCGGCAGTGCCTGGGTTCCTCCGCGTGGCTCCCACTTATGGCATGGTCGTGACGGGGGGGGGGCAGCCAAGGGTCTCGACGTGTGGTAGTGTGAGTGTCTATGCGGCTTGGATCTGGGGGTTGGTGTGGTATGTCAGTGTCCCCGTGAGCAGTGCCAGGACGAGGCAGTCGGGAGCAGGTGAGGGTACTTACTCTTCTGGAGAGGCTGGGTTTCTTCGGTGTCTGTTCTGTTGGTGGGGATCTTGCCTCGCATCTTCTAAATGCTGCCCGAGGCCTGGGTGGTGGTCCTATTGGTCCCAGGATCCAATTAGTGACCTGTACCGGCGTAAGTCCCAGCTCCTCCATGAATCCATGTACCTCTTCATGCCAGCACAGCCGATCCAGACGTTGTTGTGCCTGGCCAGGAGGGCGAATGGGAAGCCACATTTGTAGGTGATGTCTCTCAGGGCCGTCGTTACCTGGCGTAGTGCTTTTCGTGCATCTAGGGTGAGAGGGGACAGGTCATTGAAGAGTGATATCTGAGCCCCTCTGTAAGGCCATGTGGGCCTCTCACGGGCCTTCTTCATGATGGCGTCTTTCACGCAGAATGAGTGCAGGCAGCAGATTAGATCCCTTGGGCCTTCTTCCAGGGTGCGCGGCCTCAGGATCCTGTGTGCCCTCTCGAATTCAAATCTTTGAGGGATTGCCGGTTGCAGGATCGATTGCAAGAGGTCGGTAAGAATCTCCTCGGGGTTGTCAGCTCCCTCGGCTTACGGCACACCGTGAATGCGAATGTTGCATCGGCGCCCCCTGTTGTCGAGGTCCTCAAGATGCCTCCTCATGACCAAGACCATGTCTCCCTGCCGAGCCACCGCTGTGTCTGCAGCATTGAGTCTGATGGTTTGGGTCTCCGCCGCCTGCTCCAGCGTGGTGATGCGACTCGCCTGTGAGGCGACTTTAGAGCGGATCCTCGCCATCTCCGCCTTCAGCGTGTCCTGGATGTTGGAGGTGAGTTGTTGCAGGTCCACATTGGTAGCCATAGAGGCTGCCAGGCCCCAAAGTTCTTCCCTTATCCTTTCCAATGCGGTGTCATCTGGGCCCGCCGGGGGTGTCGGCGCCATCTTGGGGCTTCCAGTTTCTCCTCTCGCACCGGGTGGGGAAGTTAGAAAGCCGTCTAGGGGGCCCTGTTACTTGCCTCTCGGTGTTTGTGGAGGTTCAGGGCGTTTGTTACGACCCATTTGGGGCAATAGGCTAATTTACAGGCTCTACATAGGGGTCTGGTGGAGCGGAGCTCTCGGTTTATGCGGCCATCTTGGTCAGAGCCCAAACCACGCCCCGACTTATTACTTATTATGTGTATATATATATCGCCAGGTGACCTGTGATACAAAGAATTCTGTGTGAGGTGTAATAATTTATACTTCTCTCACACAATACAAGGAAAACATTAAAAATACATATGTAGATGTAAATTATTTTCATTTTAGGCATGCCTGAAGGCACCCTATTCACTAAAATGCCACTTATTTTGTACAATAGAATTTTGTTCCATCGTTAACTAACTTGAAAACAAGGGTAAATAAATAGCAGTTTAGCTTTTAAGACCATAGATTCTCTTCCAAATGTATTAAACAGTAGTGTTGGCACATATTAGGATACACTTCATTGATCTATAACTTAATGAATATTATCCCTATTGTGAATGCAATAAGGTCATTTTCTTTTAATTATAGAAAATATGCGAAAAATATAGTTAATTGTAGTAATACCAATTCTGTAATTTAAATAAATGAATTAAAAATGTGAAAGCAAGCCACAGCTTTCAGGTATTGAATACAGCCTTTTAGTATAATATTGTACTGCATTTGTGACATTTAATCATTGCATGACAGGTGGTGCACCAGAAACAGAATGATACAATGTGATTTGTCTAAATATTTGTCATGAAGGGGTTAAGACCGAGGCAAACACATATATGCCTATGTATCAGGATATAGAATGTAGAACTACATCATATTTTCACATTTAAACAGATTTAAGCACACATTTATAGTAGTTTTGTATTTTTAAAACAAACACACCGTAATGAACAATGCCACAGTGCAATGATATTCCTTCAATTTAAACAAATGATGATTTAAAAAAATATATATTTTTATTTTAGCTTTTTGCTATTTGCTATTTAGTCACACGGTTTATTTAATCTAGCATATAAATTTACAAAATCCCACTGATACAGTAACACAGCTAAAGAAATCTCAAAGGTAATGTGTGTGTTGGTGGGTATAAGCATTGTTTACTATAAATATGTCGCAAACACCATATAATAAATAAAATTAAAAAAAATGCTGAAAATGATGTAATACAATATTTTGCTGTAACACAATAACCCATGAACTAACTGACTTGGTAAGGTAGGCAGTCACCCTGAACTAAGACAGGCAGTGTCTTTTAACCTACTATAAATATTAGTATGCTGGTTGGAGCTTATTTCATTAAACCTACATACTACATAGAGCGAGTTTATATCATTCTGTTTCACACAAATTAAATCTTAAAACCACTTTCCAAGCTTTGTTTCATTGGTCATCAGGGAAATTCAGTTAAGGTCCCCAAAAATAGACATGCCTTCATTGCATTAATGAAAAGGAAAGGAACATTTCATCCAATTGGCAGGCTGGCATGTTATAGTGGTTTGATATGGATACTAAAGAGTTTATGATGTGACAGATGTTTCACTGCACTATTGTGAAATGAATAGATTATGAGATGTAATTAGATGTACATTGGAATCAATGCTGTTATCATCGATGCCTTCGGGCTATGCAATAGATGAGAGTCATGGCAGCAGGTGGTCCAATGGCTCAGAGACAGGAAGACACACCGCAGGAGACTGAGTGACAGCTTTCACAGATCCAGGGGGTGAGAGATCTGAGCTAGAGCCTGCATTTGTAATCTTTACTCATGTATAAATAATAACAACTACACCATGACTTAGTATGCAATGTCAGAGTCCTTGCAACCACTCCCCATCAAATATATAACAGGCCTTGTTTCTTTTTGTTGAGAAACAAGCAGATATATGTACATACATGTTTACATGTACAGGGACACACAAACGTGTATCCTAAGCTATAATTATTAATACTTATTCTCAATGTCAAAAATACAAGTCATCCAGTAACATGAAAGATTAAAGAGGAAGAGTATGTTTTCTTACACATGTATAACCTGCTATAACTATAAGTGTGTGAGTGTGTTTAAATTCATTAGTCAGAACTGACACTTAGCAATTTTAATATTACACTAGATATTTGCCTGCTTAAACACAGAATTTATGATTAAACTTCATGCCATATTTTCTATTACCTATAATTTATAATAATATTATTATAATAAATGATCATTTTTAATTCTAATAACAAAAGGGTCTTAGTGTCCCCCTCCAACCCCCCCTCCATCCCTAACATGCAGTCAGAGTTTGGGGCTTACAATAATAATAAACATGAAGCACCTAATGTCCCCACCCAAGCCCCGCCCATGGGCATGTATGAAAGAATGCATGTAATGGTAAGTATAACATTTTATTACAGGTATTAGCGAGAGTGGAGTATGCATGGGGTGGACATCATTTTTTTCTATATTTACTTGTAGCCCTTACCCACTGCCACCCATTAGTGGGGGCTTACTATTATTATTGGGTGCAGAGGCATTAGGTCTCCCCACTTTTTATTAATATTAGAGCCCACACCTTCTACCCATGGTTGGGTGCTTGGAGGGGATATTAAGTCCCCCAACTTATTTTCATATTAGTGCCCCCATCCACTGCCTATGGGTGCGGGTTAGGGGACACACAAAGTTCCCCATTCATTATAATTACAGCCCGCACCTATGGCCCATGGGTGTGGGCAAGGAAATACACTATGTCCGCTCACATTTTTATTTTGATTAGAACCCCAATGTTTGGACATTGGAGGGGTACTGACTCTCTATTTACCGGCAACTCTCTATTACCCAAAATCGGAGCATGGCCAGTAGGGAAGGGAAAATCTCCATTGTACTAATGTGAGGATCATATTGACCCCACAGGCTTTATTAACTATACGCCTGCTGGTTGCTAATGTTCCAAATGGGCAAATAGTCAAAAAAATAGCATTTTACAACAGCTTTTTGCTGTCAATATTTTCAAGACAATTTATCAAAGATTATGTCATCAATAAATGGCATTGAATTGCAGAATCCAAGTAAGGCGTGACAGAGATGTAAGATATGAATTAATTGGTATAATGAGAAAGATTAGTTTATTAGCAGGGTTTATTGTGCATAACAATATATAAATTGATATTTAACAACATATGAAAGTTTGTTAATGATGTCAAAGCAATCACAATCTCACCGTTCTGATACTTTTCGATAATACTTTATTGGTACATTAATAAATTGCTCTGTAAGTTAAGTTTAAGCCAAATCTATTAAAAGATGAGTTGGGCACATTAACAGAACTATAAGACATCTAGTGAATTAAAAACTAAAATGGTTTGAAAGACTTTAATCAAAACCAAAATAGTGTTTAATAGTGTTTAAAAAAATATTATATGTTTATTTTGCATTACACTGATAGGTTCACAGATCAGGTGAGAAAAAGTAACAGGAGCAGCAGTAAAACAAATCTATATTTATAAATTCTATATTTATTAAATATATAATATATATATATATATATATATATATATATATTTCACAGTTACCGCTCTTCCTTTTTTTACTCTATTGCTCTCTTCTCGCTTGACCTGTGAACAAAATTTAGTGACTGTACCCTAGTCTCTAGGGCAGTGGTTCCCAACCCAGTCCTCAAGTACCCCCTAACAGTCCAGGATTTAGGGATTAACCAGTTGTGTTTAAGCCCTTAACGACAGGGGATTGCCATAACTCAGGGGATTGACATAACGACGAGTGACAGACCTCAATCGCCACAATCGCGGAGTTAATGCTGCTCCGGTCTTCCTCTGTATTAGAGCGAGCACATGTGCTTACTATACTTACCTTCCGCCTCCCTGCATTTCCTGGTTCTGTGTGAAGTGCAGGGAGCTGGAACAGTGATGATCCTGCCCCCTGTGTAAAAAATAAATAAAGTTAATTTAAAATCCCACCCCCCTTTACCCATTTTAATAAAAAATTAACCCCTTCCCTGCCAATTGATCACTGACTACAGTGATCAATTGGCAGGGATTACATTTTACTGTCATCTTATTTTTTTTTTTTTAACCCCTGAGGGATAATTCTTTTTTTTAAAAACCCTCAGATGTTAAATTTGTTTAATTAATTTAAATATTTTAAAATTATATATTTAGCTAGCTGGGGTGGGTGGAAGTTAGTGGGGAATTGGGGGATTTGGTGTTAGGCTAACTAAGGGTTAACGTCAAAAAAAGTTTTCAAATAAACTTTAAAAAGTAAAAAAATTAAGCTAAAAAAGTTTTAATAATGTTTAAGTAAAAAAAACCTTTGCCCAGTCCAAATAAAAATTAACCCCTTCCCTGCCAGTCGATCACTGTCTACAGTGATCAAAATACAGATCACAGTATTATACTGTGATCTAATTTTTTTTAACCCCTGAAGATTAACTTTTATTTATTTTTTAACCCTCAGGGGTTCAATTTATTTAATTAATTTAAATATTTTATAATTATATATTTTGCTAGCTGAGGTGGGTGGGAGTTATGGGAAAATGGTGAATTTACTGTTAGTACTGCTTACTGCTACCGGTTAACTGTAAAAAAAAAGTTAGAAAAATATTAAATCTGTAAAAAAAAGTTTTAAGAAAGTTTAGGAAAGTTTAAAAAAAATTAATAAGCAAAACAAAAGTAAAAAAATACATTTAAAAACGCTCATTACCACTACACCTGGAACAAACTAGAGAAAAAATTATCCCATGCTAAGGTTCAAAATATGCCTTTTGAATTACCCCAGGGTGTATTCTTTAATAAATAGCATATGTTTGTGGGGAAGTTTCAATAACCAACCGTCTAAACTACTCCAAATTGGAACATGGACACAGCGTAAAACTTCAACATCCACATATACCTGGCAAAGGTACATACGGTGGTATTGCTGTACTCAGACG